GTTCTGCTTTCATTGTTTGCATGAACTGAAAAGAGAACTTCCTTGAATGCAGGAAATTCAGAATCTTCAAGATTTGCACTATTTGGGGCTTATGAAAATGCCAGAAATAATTTGCTTTCTTTTTTAAAAAAATGCATATTTGTTGGCTATTTCCCTGAGCATAAACATGGTGCCTACTATTTTTCAGCACTTAATGGGTTCTCAGTAAATATTTGTTCAGTGGATAAGACGTGTTCAATTTTGGAATTTCAAAAAATATAGAAAAGCAAGAGGAAAAAAAACCAAAAGTCATCTGTGAAACCTCCCAACCAGATATAATTACAGTGGTCCCTTGACTTATGAACTCAGTTTGTTCACAAGGGCTGGTTGTACCTCAAGTTGGTTGTAAGTCAAGACTATTTTTCTCATAAGAAATAATGAAAATAACCATGATGCATTCTGAAACTTCCAAAGCACCCTTTAACTAAAGTTTTCATAATAAAAAAGGGTTGCATAATGTGTGTAATTTACTGGAAACACCAATAATATTCCCAGTATATTCACCAGAAAGTTATAAAATGTGCCTACTTCAGCAGACACAATAATTTCATACTGAACTCACCACTCAAATTGACATCTTTGGCTTGTGGGAAGGGAGGATGAATTGGAAGGTGGTTACTGTTTGGAAGGCGAGTGCCCTTCCTTAAGAACATCGGGACCCTGGCTCTCTGGTGTCCTTTCTCTCCTTGGGGAGTCTGTAGCCCACTAGGACCTGCTTCCGGCTCACTAGGTCTCCACCTTTTCAAAACTAAAAACTGGTCCAAGGTGGTCTGTTCCTGCCTTGTCTTCAACATTTCGGTAGTGTGACAAGACACCATCGTTAAGCGAGTGAGTGCTACCATCGGCCTGTTCTCTGTCTGGCTGGGTCTTCTCTGCAGATGTTTATGACTGTCCAGTTTTTCAGGACTTCCTTAGTTCAGAAGAACTTTGCTGCACTGATGTGGACACTCCCCCACCTCTCCAGAAAGCTCCTGGGCTGCCATTCTCTGTGGCTCAGCCAGAAGTTGGTGAAGCTCCTCTGTAGAGCTCCTCTGAGGGTCCCTCCAGCAGCTCTTCAGCGTCCCACTGCCCACACGCAGGCCTGTGGACTCTGCACCAGTGACAGCGTCATCGGCCACAGGGTTGACTGAAAGCACAGCCTTCAGAGTCTCTGTCCTTATAATTTTAGGCCACATTTTCTTATAGGCGGATCTCAGTTCCTTAGAGAGACATTGGCCCAGGATTTCTCAGTTATCCCCACACAGGAAAGACCAGGTCATAACTGAAGACTTTGGCCATAAGTTAGAACTAAAATTCTGGTCATAACCCAAATTGTATGTGAGAGTGGTCGTAACTCGAGGGTCCACTGTACTGTCAATGAGTTGGTGAAGATCCTTCTGGTTACATATACTTGTCCATAGCTGGGGTGGCGCTAAATGTATCACCCTTTATTTCACAATATTATAGCATAAGAGTTTCTCATGTTATTAAAATTGCACTAATTTTTTTGGACTGTAAGATACTTTGTCACTCTGGTTGGATCTTTTAACTATCTTCAATTTTTTCTATGGTAAAAATGAAGACAAAGTTTGTAGCCCAAAAGGGGAGGGGCAATAAGTGGGTGGTTAGAGTGGTAGGAGCTCTGGAAATCAGAGCTGTCTGTGTTCACCTTGTCTGTATTCTTGTTTCTGGAGCATAAGGACTCTACAGGATGCAGTAAAGGGAGGAAGAGGAGGAGGAAGGAGAGGAGAAGGAAGAGGAGGAGGAGAAGGGGAAATTGTCAGTGTGTCTCTGGGACAGTGTAAATCCACCCCACCTGAGGAAGCTCCTGAAATAATCTGGAGAGAAGTGTGTAGACAGTGAGTTGTCAGAAGTGTTCCGGGCACAAAGCTCTCATTTTCTAATCCCAGGGTCCCTCTGCTGAGGTATGCTTCTGGGACCAACCGATTACAAATGAACCAGAACATCCTCTGCAGAGGTTTGGTTCTTGAGGCAAAAATCAGGATGCTTGTTCATAAACCGGTCCCTCCTGAGCGGAGGGTCTAAGTCAGCGCCCGAAGCAAGAGCTGTGATGTGAATGGAGCCAGCGCATGGAGCTGGGCTTACAGAACGGACCCAGCCAGCCAGCTGCACTACCGGCCGCTTTCTTCTCTCTCTTTCTTTTATTTTTATTAGTATGCTTACAGTCATACTAACTACATTCACACTGGGAAATCCCTGCATGTATACATTGTATCTTAATCATTTTGACTTCCTTTTCTTCCCTCGCCCATCTTTTCCCACCTGCACAAAATGTACCTCCTGTTCGGTATCATCTTTTATTTTGCTCTTTAAATTATTTCAATTTTGGGTTTCTCACATGAAAGAAACCATGCAATACTGAAGTTTCTATGTCTGATTTATTTCACTTAGCACTGTGGTTTCAAGGTGCATTGATTTCCCTACAAGTAACTCAAGTTTATCTTTCTTTGTGATGCGTTAGAACTCCGTCGGGTTCATATACCACATTTTCTGTATCCATTTATCTGCTCTGGGTCTATGGACTGTTTTCAAGTTTGGATGTTATGAACTGTGGTACACGAGTAATCTGGTGACTTTGAGCATTTTTAGTTTGTTGCAGGGTCTCCGAGCTGATCTCAATAGTGGGTGTGCTAGTATACATTCCCACCAACAATGGAGAAGGTTCCTGCTCCCCGACAATCTTGCTAGCAGGCAGCAGGTGCTGTTTTGAGCACTTGATAATAGGCGATATTCTTTCCGGAGTAAACCAGAATCTCAGTGTTCTTCTGATTTGCATTTCTCTAAGAGGCAATGATGCTGAACATTTTTTCATGTACCTACAGCCATCTGTGCTTTTACTTCTGATGAGTGTCTGCTGATTTCAGTTGCCCATTTTCCGCTATTTTATTAATACTCGGGTAGTGCACACAAGGGTTTGCACTCCTTGTGGAGCGGCTACATCTCAGCTCTTTTCTTACATCTCTGGTCCCTTCCCTCCTTCCCCACCTTCCATTTCTCTATCAAGACATCAAATAAGAGGGCTGGGGGTTTGGCTCAGTGGTTCGCCCACCTGCCTCGCAAGTGCAAGGGCCTGAGTTCAATCAAAAAAGAAATCAAAGAATAACACATGTTGGAAAGGCTGTGAGAAAAGTGGAACAAGTATTACCATTATGGTGATTCCTCAAAATATTAAAACCAAAAATTCCACTTGATCAAGCTATTGCCTTTCTGGGTATCCTGAAAGCGTTAAAGACATCACATTACAGTTGTGCATGCATGCCCATGTTTATAGCAGCGCAGTTCATAACAATGAAATCTTGGTAACGGGTAGAGAAAATGTATTTACACAAATGGAGTACCACTCTGCCATGAACTTAAGTCATTAACTGCATGGACTTAAGTCATTCGTGGAAAAACGGATGCATCGTGAGACCATAATGTTAAGTAAAACAAAGCAGAAACACAAGCGTAAATATCACGTGGATTCTCTTCTGTGAGAAACCCAAGTTATAAATACAGAGCAAAATAAAAGATAGGTAACAGGAAGCACGGAGAGTGATCATTCTTAGCAGGGAAGATGATGAATTGCCCAGTTTCCGTTTGGGCTTCTTATTGGTCTTATTCTTTCTCGGAGCACTGCTCCCCTGTGTGAGGGACAATCTGCGGTAATTCAGTTCCTCAGAATGATCCTTCTGGGATGTCCACCGGTGATAGTGGAGTGAAACTTGTGAACTGAAATAGGACTTTTTTCAAGTCTCAGCACTGTATCTGCTTTGAGGTATGAGCTGGGGGCTGCGAGGATGCGACTGGCAGTTCATTCGCTGCTGGATTTCCTGGCTGTCAAATGCACTGAGACACATTCGAATTCTTCCAAGGAATGAACAGAGCTGGGCTTCATTGAGCCCTGGGGCTGGATTGGTGGGTTTGGAAATATCGGTGTTCATTATGGGATCTACCAGACTTGGTATTGACACCCCCGCCAAAATTCATGGAATTATGTTCTCCCAATGATCCAACAAATGAATTGTTTTTTTTTAAATTGAGTAATGAAAAGCCATATTCTTCTTATGTACTATACTGATTACAGGCACTGAACAAGTCAATGAAAAATTAAGATACCACTCCTCGTAAACTGCACTAAATGTGTGTGTGCACACATACGTTCCTTGGGCACTGTGTGCTTTTGATAAATCAAAACCTGGATTACAGTGCAGCTCTTATCTTTGTTCAGACATTTGTGTCTGAAAGGAAAAGGCAGCAGAGTGCGGAGACCCTCTCATTCACTTGAAAGCTAAGGACCGTATGGACAGGGTGCTCTCAGAATGTTGCCCAGAGTCCTCCCCAGCCTCTCTAACCTTCGTTCCACATAACAACAGCTCCAAAGCCAGGGCTATTCATGCTTATGACAGTGAGCTCTCCCGAGACACGTGTCCATACTTTCCACCCATCTCCTCTGTGGGAACAGCCTCTACCCTCAGCTGGACTGGAAGCCCAGGGCTTGGGCTTGGCCTCCAGCTAGCTTGGGCAGCGGGGAGGCAGGTCTCTCAGTAAAAGTGTTGTTGTCCCTAACCTCTGCATTTCCAGTAAAAGGAAACTGGTCTCAGAGTTCCAGGAGAGACAGGCAGGCAAGGATTGAAAACACCAAGTCCAAGAAAGTGAACAAATCCAAAGCTGTCAGGTGGCAGAAGTGGTCAGGTACAGGGCCACTTTCTAAATGTCACTCTTGCCACAGAGCAACCAGCTGGGCGTGGGGGACAGGGTGGGGATGCACTGAGAATAGGGGCTGGCTTTGCACAGCGACACAGCACAAGTCTTCCAAGTTCCAGTGGACTTTGTTATTCCAAATGAGTCTCATTTCCCCAATTTGCAATGTAAGCCCTCTAAAGAGGAACTGGTGGTTTTAGGAGAACTGTTGAAATTACTGTTTCTACAACTGCTTTCTTTCCCACCTTTCAGTTTGCACCAAGTTCGTTGGCAGCTGCTGAGGCTGGCGGACGGCTGGGGACTTCGGCACCATGCACGCCTTCGGGGCTGGCCTGCTCCTCTGGGCGGTGGCAGCATGTGTCTGGACAGACGAGCTTCTGCAGGAGCTGGATGAAACTGGCTTTCAGAAGTGCAGGGATGCCTTGAAGCTACCTGTCCTGGAAGTCTTACCCGGAGGGGGATGGGATAATCTGCGGAATATAGACATGGGGCGTGTGATGGAGCTGACCTACACTCGCTGTAGGACCACTGAGGACGGACAGTACATCATCCCCAATGAAGTCTTCACCATTGCCCAGAAACAGAGCAACCTGGAGATGAACTCCGAAATCCTGCAGTCCTGGATGGATTACAAGAGCAGCACCTCCTCTTCTATCAATTTGGACATTGCCCTTTATTCCAAAGTCAATGGCAAGTTTTCCTCCGAGTTTCAGAGGGTGAAGACCCTTCAAGTGAAGGACCAAGCTGTAACCACTCGCGTTCAAGTCAGAAATTTGGTCTACACGGCCAAAATCACCCCGGCCTCAGAACTCACCTGGGAGTTTAAGAAGGAGCTTGTGGACATCTCCAACCGCCTGGAGAACAACCAGACGAGGATGGCCACGTACCTGGCGGAACTGCTGGTCCTCCACTACGGCACCCACATCATCACCAGTGTGGATGCCGGGGCAGCTCTCGTCCAGGAGGACCACATCAGGTCCTCCGTCCTCCAGGACAGCCAGACCAGCCAGAAGAGCTTGACTGCATCTGCAGGAGTTGTCTTCTCAAAAATCGTGAATGCCAAAGTTGATACTGGGTATTCCACTGAGGAGGCCCTGATCAAGGGCTACCTGGCCAACCGGACCAACTCCAGGGTGCTGAGCTTCGGGGGAGTTCCCTTTCACCCGGGCATCACCCTTGAGGTCTGGCAGCAGGGCATCCACAACCACCTGGTGGCGGTGGACCGGACCGGCCTGCCTCTTCACTTCTTCATCAAGCCGGACATGCTGCCGGAGCTGCCTGGGCCGCTGGTGAGGCAGGTGTCTCAGACGGTGGAAGCAGCCGTGCGGCGCTATTACACCTTCAACACCTATCCCGGGTGCACAGACGCCAGCTCCCCGAACTTCAACTTTCAGGCCAACACAGATGATGGCTCCTGTGGAGGGAAAACGAGCAACATCTCCTTCGGGGGCGTTTATCAGGAATGCACCCAGTCCTCAGGCAGAGATCTTGCCCTCTGCCCCAACCTGGAGCAGAAGAATCCACTCACGGGTAACTTCTCCTGCCCCTCCGACTACACCCCAGTCCACCTGCTGACTCAGACCCACGAGGAGGGCTACAACCACCTAGAGTGTAGAAAGAAGTGCAAACTCCTCATCTTCTGCAAGATCGTGTGCGAAGACGTGTTCCGGGTGGCGAAGGCTGAATTTAGGGCATTCTGGTGTGCGGCCAGCCGCCAAGCCCCCGGAAACCTGGGGCTTCTGTTTGGGGGTGTCTTCAGCAGTGGGAGTGTAAACCCCACGACAAACGAGCAGTCGTGCCCAGCGGGCTACACGACGCTGAGCCTATTTGAGACCCTGAAGGTGTGTGTCACTCAGGACTACGAGCTGGGGTACAGGTATTCCGTCCCCTTCGGCGGGTTCTTCAGCTGTGCGGTGGGGAACCCCTTGGTAAACTCTGCCGTGTCTGGAGACCTCCAGAAAAAGTGTCCGGGGGGCTTCAGCCAGCACTTGGCCCTCATCATGGACGGATGCCAAGTGTCCTATTGCGTTAGGGCGGGGGCGTTTACTCGGGGGTCCCTGGCTCCCGCCAGGCTCCCACCCTTCACCCGGCCACCCCTCATGAGCCAGGCCTCCACCAACACCGTCATGGTGACCAACGGCGAGAGCTCCAGCTCTTGGATCAGAGATTCCCGGACGCAGCGCTGGAGGCTGGGAGAGCCGCAGGAGCTGCGCAGAACCATGAGGATCATCCGCGGGGAGCGAAGTGGGCTGTCCGGGGGGGCGGCAGTGGGCGTCTCGGTGGCCATCACCACCCTCTTGGCGGCTCTCATCGCCTTGGCTTTCTATGGCGTCCGGAAGCGCAAGAATAAAGGGTACCAGGTGATCGAGGGCGAGAGGGAAAGTTTGGTTACAGAGATTACAGCTGCCAGAAACATCCCTGAGCTAGAGCCCGAGCAAAGTCCAGCCTAACTCTCTCCCGGACACAGTTTCTGTCACCTCCAACCACAGATGCACGCCGGTCTCTCGTCCCTTCCCTCTCCGCTTCTGTCTTCCCACACAAGGAAGTACAGGTGGAACAGCAGGCAGGTACAACTTTGTGACTTCTTGTTTGGATCTCAGGGCCAGCAAGTTAAGAAGCCCCAAGGACAAGGTAGGCGGTGGGGAGACGGAGCAACCGTGACCGGTTAAGCACAGGCCACCTGGGACTAAAACCTAACGGGCTGTCTGCTCTCAGTATTCACGTGCATGGTCTTCACTTGGTGCGTGTTTAAAAAGGAGGGAGGCTGCAGACATTTGAATTTGGAAATGAAGCTCGCAGGCGTTCTTCATTTAACTGTGAGAATTTCTGCCTGTAAGCACCACCTGCCTTCTATTTGTGCTTTTAGATGCTGCTGTATTTTATGCACCTGGGGTCGTGCAACGATACAGGAAGCCCTGTGTGGCCTCTGCTTTGAGGGCTTCATGCTGACCCCTTGGGAAAGATGTCGTCCACCTAGTTCCACAGTTAGGACTTACTCTGGGACTTCTGACTAGAGTCACCAAGTCCTCTGGAAATATTTTAACTGACATGCTCCTGTTCGCAGGGCAAGGGCAAAGGGATGGTTAGGAAAGGCAGAGTAAAAGTTAAAAAAAAAGAAAAAAAAAAAAACTCGGGTGCTGGGGAGAAACTGGAATTCTTAGCCCACTGATTCCTTTTTCTCATCTCATTATGAACCAGGCACTGGAAGGAGAGGTGAATTTGGACAGGCCAACAGTTCTGCTTTCATGTTCTGTGTTGCAAAAAAACCCCAACAAAACAAAACAAAACAAAAAAAACCAAGCCTTCCACTTCCATGAATGGCCTCCAGCCACTTGTGTGGGTGTGTGACAAGCACACACACGCACATCCGGATTCCAAGTTCACAATTTTCCAGGGAAAAAAAAGCCAGAAGTCAAAGTAAGCCAACATCTAAATATTACTTCCTCCCTAAAATAAAACAAAACAGAACCGCGCCCCCCCAATAGAAAACAACAATTACTCCCCCGGTCCCGCAGAAAAATGGGTTCCAATATCAAATTCAGGTCCCTGAGTGGAACCACTGGAGACAGCTGTCTGGGTTCCGGGCTGGTGGCCCTGGGGCATCTGGCAGGACGCTGGACTGTCAATATTTGGGCTTTGCTCAGTTTAACACCAGTTGTATCTAGTTGTAATCACCTCCACAACATTTTTAAGCAGTGTCTATTTACCCAATCCAATGTCATTAGTGGCCCCACGTGTGCCAGCCCGTAGGGGTGGGAGTAAGAAATGCTCATTCCTTTCCGACACAGACACATGGCGAGGATAGCAGACTGAGCTGCACTCCGACTGCCCAGCCAAGGACTCTGACTCCTCCAATCTCTGTGCTTAACCCTGTCCCTGAAGCAGTCAGCTGTCTTCCTGAACTTCTGGGTGTTTTGTGGATTCTGGGGCTTTTGTATGTGTCAGCCAATCTAACCACATTTCTACCAGATCCTGACTTTCCTGCTGAATTCGCTGATGATTACTGAGTTAAACAGGCAAAAATTCTTGGGCTTTCCATGCACTAATTGCCCAAGGAAATGAAAAATTCTTCACAAGTTTCTAGGTTGATAATAAAACTACACGTAAATATGCACTGAAATGTCCTGAGGAGCTTTGTGTCCTGCTGTGCATTCACGTGGAATCAGAATGGGGAGCCTGCAGCTCACAGGCGAAGTCAGGTCTCGGGAGCAGGGCTCCTGGGTCTACCGAGCTGATTCCCTGAGGAAAGCCCAGTCCTAGCTTTGAAGGAAGCCACAGCCCACAGACTATGATGGAGACAGCCGGGGTGACAAGCCCTGCTCAGTCTTTGGGATGATGCTTATAAGCATTTATTTGCAAAACAGCCTATAATTTAAAAAAAAAACCTATTTGTAGACAGGCAAAAAAGACCTGTAAGAGGGCTGGGGATTTACCTCAGCGGTTTGGTGGCCTGCCTCACAAGTGCAAGGACCCGAGTTTGATCCCCGGTACCACAAAAAAAACAAAACAAAAAACCCGTAAGAGTCAGGATCTGCGAGTTGAGACGATCTGTCTCCCACAGGTCTGCTCACCTACTTCTCAGGCCATGTGGTCTCTCGGGGACCCCAGTCAGGTCAAATGTGTTGGTAAAGGTGCGGAAATTTGAAAACAAATTAGAGAAAAGGAATATTCCCCTTATCTGGTGGAAGGGCTTGTGGTTGCTTACAGACTCAAGGAAGTAACCCAAATGCCGCCCGGTACAATAACTGACCAAAAGCAGAAGGTCACCGAGAACAATTTGTGGCTGTTCATTTGTCATTTATTGTTCTGCAATACACCTCATGAGCACCAGGTGGCGATGTCCTCTAACAGAGCAACACCCCAAATTTCAAATCACAGCAGTTACAGACAGAACAATTCACGTGTGGACAATCAACTGCTCCCCCAGCATCCCCCACTCAAATGCCGGGGACCACAGATGGGGTCTTCCCTGTACCACACAGGCCTCCCCCAGTCGTCTCATGCATACACCCGTGCCACACCAGGACAAGCACTTTAACCAGGTATAAAGCCACAGAGAAGTCCAAAGTGTACCAGAGGGGAGGGATGAACACACGAAGGCACACATGACACACAGACACCACACGGCCTTTTAGGATGAGCATTTGGCTGTGTCCGATCCCATTCATCCTCCCTGGAGACTCGGGAAGGGGCAACGAGGCTGCTGGTGTGGAGACCAGGAAAGGAAGAGCCCGGGGTCCTCTGTGTGGGCCAGGAGGCCTCCACCGGGGACCCCCTGCACCCGCATGATGGGCAGAGCTCTGTTGCCAGGGTCCTCGCTGAGTCCGAGACTGTGCCTTTCTGGGTTGGCACAGGGGAAGGGTGAGGGGCTGCCCCTCCCTGCCTTGCCTGGCGCCATTTTAGAAGGAAAATCCAAGATCCCTTCTGCCCAGAGAGTCCAACAAAGGCAGCAGCAACCTCAGAGAGGATGGAAGACAGGGGGACAGGACATATCAAAGTCGTCTGGGGGAAGCATGGAGACCAATTCTCAAAGGGTATTGCCAGGGTGCACTGACTACCTCACGGTCCTCTCCCTTTTGCCCTTGACAGCCCCTTCCCTGCGTCCACCTTCTTCCTGACGAGGCGCCTCTCCACTGCCAAATTCCCAAGGTCAAAGCACGTCTTGGTTTCCTCCCTGCTTCCTACCGCTTCACTACACCTCCCCACGCCGGGCCCTCTGTCTACAGGGAAGCTTTCTGGGGATCTCTGTACATGGTGACCTGGCAAAGGGCACAGAATACGACATTAGTCACCCCGGGGTTGCCTCTTCCATTTAGTTGTTTCTGTCCTGACTGTGACAGGAAGTTACCCCAAGGTGCAGTGAACTCAAGACCCAAGTCCAGGTCTGCTCCTGAGACAAAATGGCTTCCCGCTCACAGGAGAGGCCGGGACTAAGATGGCAAGAACGGTTCTCTTATTAGAGTTTCCCCTGGTGGAGCCAATTCCGGAACTGAAGACTCAGCAGCAGCAAGTCCCAGGGAATTGAATTAGGGAACACTCAGGCACTTCCACTGGACACATCAACAGCAGAATGGCTGTGGCCTCAGAGATAGAGCTGGCTCTCACCAAAGCTTGGCCTTAGTTCTAATTTAAGTACCATTGTTGAAAGTTGCTTTGTTTCAATTTTTTCTAGCATCCAAAAAAACCTTCCAAATCTTATGAAATATATATGCATATATATACGTGAAACCCCCAAAACATGAGGTATATAAATTCAAATTAGTATCCAGAGGAACTCCCCCAAACACATAGTTCAAAGAACCCACTTTCAAAGGGGGACTTGGGCTTCCCTTCCTGACCCCCCAAGGCCTTCTCTCCTCCTTACCCCCAATTCATTCCTTCATGGGAGCCAAGCGTGAGAAGATATCGGGAGGACAGAGACAGTTTTGGGGCACAACCTAGATGCAGAGTAGCCCAGACCATAACGTGGGCCCAGCACTGTTAGGAATGAGCTAAGGACGCATCCGCTATGCTCTAGGTCAAACTGTAACAGCAGAGGGGGCAGAGGCCCAGCACCATCACCAGGCTTACATGCAGACCGTGAAGCCCTCATAGAAACAAGGCCGGAGAGAAGAAAGCTCTCATCCAAGCTTGGAAAGAAAAAAAAAAAAAAAAAAAA